GCGGCGGGCGGGGCGGGGCCGGCGCCCCCGCCACCCCCGCCCGCGGCTCCATTTTGTGGTGTCACCCCGCGCGCCGCGGCAAGGGCCCCGGCCGGGCGCGAGCCGCCCTCGCCCCCATCGCGCCGCGTGGGGACGGAGCCGCGGCCGAAACCGCGCCTTAAAATGGCTCCTTAACCCGCGCCTTAGAGCGCGGCCCGGGCCTCGGTGCCGCCCGCGAGCGCCGTGGAGCTGCCGCTGCGCGTCGGGCACCGGCGGAAGGGGCCGCCGAAACTTCCCCTTTCAGGTGCCCGGGACGTGTTCCCAGCGCGCTCCGTGTATCCCTGGGCAGGAGGCGCGGCCTCCCGAGCCTTTACATAGACGGTTAAGCCAAGGGAGAGCTCTGCGGCTGCGAGGAGGGCAGCAGCAGCAGCCGCGTGTGGGAATGGTGAAGCACAAATGGCTGAAGTTGGTTCTCACGTTAATACTGAAACCTGCGAGGGTGACGTATCTCCGAGCACCTTGTGAGGAGCCGACCAACGGCCYGGTTGGACACGGCCGGGTGGGAGGTGGAGTGGCGAGGAGGAGGCCTGGGCAGTCTGCACGCGCAGAAACCCGGCTCGGTTGTGCTGGCTTGGGTTGCGGTACAGTGCAGCTCTAAAGCATTTCAGCCAGTTGGCGCTGCCTCCAACGCTGWCGTTCAGGCTGTGGTTTAAGTCTCCTTTTGTCTGTGAGAGCCTCTGGGGCGAGGAGCAGCGCTGGGGGAGAGGGCCTGGCCCGTCTCCTCCTCGCAGGGTGTTCCCCCTGGAGCTCCTGAACCCCTCATGTTTGGGCAGCGCTGACTGCGACGTGCGGCGCGGGCGCTAACCTGCACATCCTCGTGGACGGTCTTTGTGCGTGTAGACAGGGCTCTGTTAAGGCACGGCGTTGCTGCATGCTCCTAGACCAGCCTGGATTTTGTCTGTTTCTGTGGGGGGGAAAATGAGCGTGGGCTCTTCTTGTCATTCTTGCTAAGTTGGTAACTGGATGCAACTAATGCWGCATCTTGAATGAGCTCATATGAGAAACCGAGTGGTGATGAAGGGCTGGAATTGTACACATGCCTGAGATAAAAATGATCTGCTTTGCATTCTCCTCTGGATGCTCATGTTGGTAAATATTTAAAATAAYGTTCCTGTGAAAGTTAACACTTTCTTAGAAGGAAGCGGTGACTTGAAGCCTTCAATCTATGAGCATTGAGTGCTTGTCTGTTTTGTCTTAAAGATTTTGATTGCATGTCTTGCAGTTTCAAACTTCTTGGGAAATGGTTGCTCTGCATATGACGTTAAAGCATCTTTGTCCTTGATAAATGTCTGAATAATTCCTCCCTGTTTTTCCTCTGTAGAAAGATCAGCATGGATAAAAATGAGCTGGTGCAGAAGGCCAAACTGGCTGAGCAGGCTGAAAGATATGATGACATGGCRAGTTGCATGAAGTCTGTGACTGAGCAAGGAGCCGAGCTGTCCAATGAAGAGAGGAATCTTCTCTCTGTTGCTTATAAAAATGTTGTAGGAGCCCGTAGGTCATCTTGGAGAGTCGTCTCAAGTATCGAACAAAAGACGGAAGGAGCTGAGAAAAAACAGCAGATGGCTCGAGAATACAGAGAGAAAATTGAGACTGAGCTAAGAGACATCTGCAATGATGTGCTGGTGAGAAATAATGAAACTGTTGATCCGTTTTTACTTAAAGTTGCAGCATAAATGGTACTAGCCCTTGCAGGCTATTTCTAGTCTTTCAGTAAATGTGCTCTCTTAGGCCATTTCTGAAGGACAAGATTTAACAAATGTCTGATTTTTTTTCTCCCAAAATAAAATACATTTTTAAGCATAGTTAGTGCTAGTATGTTTGGAAAAATATGTTAAAACTTTATTGCATGTAGAGGTAATCTTTATAAAAAGAAACTTGTGTCTGAACAAGATTGAAAAACTGAGCAAAACTGAGCAAGGTTTTCTTTTGAGGCCCCCCACATTTCCCACTCTCCCGGAATGTACTGCTTRCAGCCTAGGTGGCTCTGATTTCTAGAATTTTGACATGCTGTACAGTTGTAAGAGGTAGCTCTAACTCTATGGAAACTGTGCCCCTCCCTGGGTAAGATGATGTAATGTGAGTTATGACTCAGCCATGCAGAAAACTGTCTGCAGGAAGAGGCAGTAGAAAGGCTGTGATGCCCTCTTAAATTTAGATTTTTTTAGCCACAAACTACAAGGGGGGGAGAGTTAGACATTGTGGAAGGCTGATATTTATGTTAAAACATGTGTATGTGGAAAATGACAGTATATTCTCGTTAGGAAACTTGCAAAATCCTGACCTCTTCCAAATGTCTAGTCCTGATTATTAGGTTTTCCAGTTCCCTAAGTCAGTAGTGCTTTCGTGAGCACGTCATTAGTGACGGACAGCCCTGTTTCTAGCATGGGGGATGTTACTGTCAGCAGTAAAATTTCACACTGCAAAAATGTGAACTGCAGACTCTGCTGCTGTGCTATCCCACATTAACAAGGGATCAAGTGCTACCTGGAAGTCTCTGAAGAACATACAGTACGTGGAAGGTGTTAAGGAGCTTGAATGTGGTTRAAG